ATTCCTGGCTCCCATTATTTCCAATGGGCCTTCAAGTCTCTCCCATTGTTTCCAATGGGCAATCCTGTCCTTTCTTTTAGTACATCCGGAGAGATGAATAAGCCTTGGTCTTAAAGGTGCCACTGGACTCTTTTGGGTTGCTAGCTATGCGGGGGGATGGGGGACACACAGATCTGCCCTCACAGAGGAGGGAGAGATTGTACCTAAACCTGCAGGATCTACAGTGGATTACCATGCAGCTATTTACTGAACTGCAGCTCCTGACGGGACATGTCTAGTGCTGCCCTGTTAGAACTCAGTTTCAGATTATTATTATTTTTGCCTGAACAGAGAAATAATAATAATATGCACAGAAAACAGGCAACCTCTGAATCTCCAAAGCACGAGCTCCGACATCATATGCTCCATTTCCCTACTCCACCTCCACTTGGGAGGTGGCTCTGGTTTTGCGTGCTTTTTCTTTGGTTCCCACGGAAGCCTCTGGTTGATGATTCAGGGATAGTGTACCTTTGGCTTCAGTTCCAAGGGGATATATGTTGGAGCTTGCCTGGCGGCTGTCTGAGCTGTGGCTCCCGGGCAGGCTCTGGGCAGGCTGCTCAGTCCATTGGCAGCTCCCAGGAAAGGGGGGTCCGGGGAAGGGTGGGCGGCGAGTGATAGTGGTGGTGGACACAGGGCAAACACTAAAGAAAATGAGCGGGGCCACCTCCGGCTGGGAAGGAAGTGGTGGCACCACGCGAGGTCAGGGAGGGCAGTTCTTCGTAAAAATACCTTCAACGATGCCCCCCCATTAATGAAATGGGACTTACGCCTGAGGAAACACAGGCTTGAACTGAAAGGCTGCCTTCCTGTGCTTGCTTACATAGGAGTTAAGCCCCATTGCACTGAGTGGGGCTTTTTTCACCGTAAACTTGCCTGGGGATCAAATCTCTCATGCAAGCTTCCGGCCCCATGGATCCTAGCAAGACTCAACAGCGAACACAGACCCTTTCCCTGCCCTTCCCAAGTGGCACTTATTTGTGGCTTCCTTGTGTTGTGAAGGGAAGGAAGCATCCTTGGTTTCAGCGTGCTTTTGTTTCCGAGGAGGTCTGGCTTGGGGGAAGGGCAGCATAGCCCCAGTTTGTCCTGTGTGCAGGGTGACATGAGCCTTGTCAGCTGGGAGAGGGCACCTATCCAGGACTAGCAGCCCCCCAACATGAAATTCTCCCCTTGTTCACCCGCATTTTGTCTTAGACGGGGCTGACAAACAGCGGGCGTGAGGACGGGAGTGATGGCACAGGTGAGCGAGGAGCTTTCCAAGGGGAGGTGACTCGGGCAGGCCTTTCTCCATGCCCCATACCAAGGTGCGGGCCAGGAAAAGCGAGGGGTGGGTGTGAGGGCAACTTACCATACTTCTTTTTCCTCCAGGGATGATGGGAGCAGGGGGAAGCTGAGGATGAGGCGGAAAGGCTTTCCCCGGGGTGCCGTGCCTCTGGGCGGCCCAGAGGAAGCCGAGAATGGGGCGGGAGAGCTGCTGGGAGCAGGGGGTGGGGCTTGGTCATGTGCCCGCCCCCAGGCTCCTCTCTCTCAGAGCGCCACTCCTGTGCACTCCCCCTCCAACCAACCCCTGGTTCTGCCTCATATTTTGGATGTTGGAAGGTGATGTGGGACAAGTCCTCTGTCAACTTTTGATCACAGGAGCAGACTCATTTTCCTTTATGGGATGCTATTAAAACAGCCTTCCAAGACTGACAGAGCACTCCAGGCTAACAAATGTAGACTTTTTACATTTTTGTTAATTTGTTATAAGCTTCTCTGAACAGATGGAAAAGCTGTATGTTACATGGATACACATACATTTTCTCAAGCCTAAATTTTTCTATTGTTTAAGGATAGAAGCCTCCCTTCTCCCTGTGCAATGACTTCTGCTACCCTGGTTACAGCAAGAAAATGAAGGAAGAAGAGCAATTCTGCTGTTATGATTGTGCTCCATGTCCAGAAGGGAAGATGTCAAACCAAGAAGGTAAGAGATGAATTGTAACTGGTAACTATGTATTAATTGGTGGTTGTGGTGGAAAGTGTGGTTAAGCCATATCCAACTTATGGTCCCCCTGTAGGGTTTTCAATGCAAGAGGTGTCTCAAGGTGATTTGTCATTGCCTGCCTATGCCTAGCAAGGCTAGACTTCCTTGGTGATCTCCCATCCAAATACTAACCAGGCCACACTTCCAAGATCTGGTGAGAACAAGTTAGACTGGCCCATCCAGGCCAGGGTCTTATTAGTTATTATGATTTAAATTACAATTTAATTACCATGTTGGTATACAGATGAAAAAGGCGTATATTGGAACATCGTGAAAAATACATGTGAGATAAAGTTGAAAGGCTGAAATTGGCTGAAACTGCTGGGAGATCATAAATGATGTGGTAATTAGTGGACTATCATGAATGGGGTAACGAAACAGCAAGATGGGCAAGTAAAGGGGAGAACTCTAAGGCAACAAAGACTGAAACCCTGTATAAGGCTCATGGAATATGGAATAAATTGAAGGACTCTACCTGATTTACTTGACACTGTTGGGGAAGTCATAACTTGTGGAAGCCAAAACTCACCAAACATGGAGAGCAGGTAGAGGAGTTTCAGCCAGATATCTTCTGCAATTTTGGTGTCTCTAGCTTGCATAGGATCTGTTTTATGCACTCCTGGACCTGCACCTGTCATTTCCCTGAAAAGCACTCTCCTGAGGGCTCCTTCTTTGGACCCTGTAAGTTCAGTCCTCATCAAAGTTGGAGGGCACATAGAAGAGCATCAGTCACAGATTCCCAGCAAGTTTCCTGTTTCTAGCATGCCAGGGAGCCATTCTATCACACCACAAATTTCACAAACTGAACCAATACACTTGGCTGCTAAAAGTTTGTGATGGTTCGAGGTTCGAAAACTGGGCACGCCACGAACCACAAATCCAACTGAGCTGCGTTTTCCTGGTTCATGCCCATCCCTAGTTCTCGTATGTCATTTATTATGTCATAATAAATGCTATTTGCCTGGTGTAGTAAACTAAAATCATGTGGTCCTCTCTCTCTCATTTCTTAACAATATTATCTCTAAACTCATGACAACTTTGTTAAGAAATATTAATTAAATCAAATATCCAGAAATGCTGTGGGATACAAATCCAGGCTGGTTTCCATGTTATCCATTTAACCACTTATTTCAGTGACTGGATTAATCCTTTGGGGAAATGTTAATAGTAGGGATGTGCAATCACCTTGGCTGAGCTCATTAGGAACCCGAATACTGCCAATATAGCATTATATGGGATGGCCAATTACCGAATCAGATTCTTTGATCTGATTTGGCAGGCCAATTAGGGCATACCCGCATATTTGGGGATACCAAATGGGGAGAGGGAAAGGATTTGGCTATACCGATAATTTCCTGAACCCCAGTATAAGACCAATACTGGAATTTGGGAATATCGGCAAATGCCCATATTTTTCAGGTTTGGGACATCTGAACTGAAAAATATCAAAAAAAACAACAACATTTCTCTGCACAGCCATCTCCCTTATAAATAAAAGCCGAAAGGTGGTGGCACTTCTCTAGAACATTCCACACGCTCCAAAAGCAGTTCGCTGTCTGATCTGTCATTCAGAGGGTCTCCCTATTCACTGGCTGCTTTGCATGAGTCCTGCCTCCAACAATCAAAACATTTTGCTGTTCCTCTCCCCCCCCCCCATAGCCAGTCAGAACACAGAGGTTATTTGCATATGCAGCCTCATTGGCCTTTGCCTCGGAACACAGAGGTCATTTGCATATGCGACTTGACTGGCTTTTGCCTCTAACATTCTAAACAGTTTGCTGTTCTAAGGTAAAATGTGTCCAATCTCCATCTAAACTCATGACAACTTTGTTAAGAAATATTAATTAAATCAAATATCCAGAAATGCTGTGGGATAGAAATCCAGGCTGGTTTCCATGTTATCCATTTAACCACTTATTTCAGTGACTGGATTAATCCTTTGGGGAAATGTTAATAGTAGGGATGTGCAATCAGCTTGGCTGAGCTCATTAGGAACCCGAATAATTCCAATATAGCATTATATGGGATGGCCAATTACCGAATCAGATTCTTTGATCTGATTTGGCAGGCCAAGTAGGGCATACCCGCATATTTGGGGATACCAAATGGGGAGAGGGAAAGGATTTGACTATACTGATAATTTCTCGAACCCCAGTATAAGACTGATACTGGGATTCAGGAATATCAGCAAATGCCCATATTTTTCAGGTTTTGGATATTTGAACTGAAAAATATCAAAAACATTTTTGTCTGTGCACAGCCGTAGTTAATAATTTAAAAGGAAGTCTCATAGCAAAGTACATTTCATGGAGAACACCAGTGTGGTGAAATGAATGGTGAGGCATGAGAATAGAGGCTCTTCTAATAATGAAAGACAAAAGAATCCCTTCAGTGACTATACACAATCAGATGGCAAGGAATCCACATAGCTTTGGAGGGGAAATAATTAAATGCAGTGGGGGGAAAACCTAACTCTTTGATGCCAGAAGATTTAAACTCTCCCCTCAGGAAAAAGATGTCTCTGTGAGAGGGGATTAAGATCCTTATGATCTTGGGTACTTTAACACTATTTCCCAATTTGGACAGCTTCTTATTTGTGTGATGAAAGGGCCTAAATGTTTTTTATCTTCTTCTTCTTCTTCTTTTTCTTTCAGACATGGATTATTGTGTCACTTGCCCAGAAGGTCACTATCCAAACAAGGTCCAAGATCAATGCATCCCCAGGATTCCAAACTTTCTGTCCTTTGCAGATACTTTGAGTATTATTTTAGCCTTAATTGCTATTTTCTTTTCTCTGATGACAGCTGTGGTACTTGCAATCTTCATCAAGTACAAAGACACTCCCATAGTCAAAGCCAACAATCAGATCCTCAGCTATATTCTTCTTGTCTCTCTCTTTCTTTGCTTCCTCTGCTCTTTGCTCTTCATTGGAAAGCCTAACCAGGTGACCTGCCATCTCCGACAAACAGCTTTTGGCATCATCTTTTCTGTTGCTGTATCTTCGGTGCTGGCCAAAACCATTACAGTGGTGGTGGCTTTCATGGCCTCTAAGCCAGGAAACATTTTCCAGAAGTGGGTGGGGAAATGGTTGGCTCATTCTATTGTCATTTCCTGTTCCTTGGTTCAAATAGGCATTTGTGCTCTTTGGTTGGGTGCTTCTCCTCCATTTCCAGATTTGGATATGCACTCATTGACTGCAGAAATTATAGTACAGTGTAACGAGGGCTCCATCATCCTGTTTTATTGTGTCTTGGGCTATCTGGGTTTCCTAGCTGTGGTCTGCTTTATTGTGGCTTTTCTAGCCAGAAAGTTACCTGACAGTTTTAATGAAGCCAAGTTCATCACCTTTAGCATGTTGGTCTTTTGCAGTGTTTGGCTTTCCTTCTTTCCAACTTACTTGAGTACACGAGGGAAAGACATGGTGATTGTGGAGATTTTCTCCATCTTGACCTCCAGTGCTGGGTTATTGGGCTGCATCTTTCTGCCCAAATGTTACGTGATAATAGTGAGGCCTGTGATGAACAAAAGAGAACAATTTATAAGAAAACACATCTGAGACTCTAAGAATTAATAATTGGCCCAGACTAGTCTGATCTCATTAGATCTCAGAAGCTATGCAGTGTTGGCCGTGATTAGTATTTGATTGGGAGAGCACTAATTAAATCCATGGTCAGTATGCAGAGGCAGGCAATCATAATCATCCTCTGAACATCTCTTGTCTTGCAAACACTATTGGGTTGTTGTAAGTTGGCTGCAACTTGATGGTACTTTCAAACACAAATAAAGGTAAAATAGGCCCAAAGGTCCAGTGTATTCTCTTGTGAATGACAAATGCAATATAAAGAATCCAGTGGAGTTATTAATGACTAGGAATAAGACCCATTGTGGAATAAATACAACAAGATCTAGAAAGAGGCTCTAGGTGGGTGCCCTGGCCTTGAGCACTCAGCATCAATTTGCTGTGGTGACCTCAGCAGGGTATAATGATTCAGAGTTTACTGTTTTCTGCAGGGGAACTGATTTCTACCATCTGGAGAACAGTTGTAATTCTGAGTGATCTCTAGCCCTCCCCTGGAGAGTGACAACAATGGTTCCCCTGGAGGAAATGGCAGGTTTGGAAGGTGGAGGCTATGGCATTGTACTTGTCTGAGGTTCCACCCCTCCTCAAACCCCACTCTCTCCAGGCTCCACCCCTCAAATCTCCAGGAATTTCCCAACCTGGAGTTGGCAACCATAGCTCCTTCCCAGCTAACCATCAGCCTACCTTTATCTGCCCCTCTGACTTCAGCTTTCCATCCCCCCCACCTGCAGCCTCTACCTAGGAAAAGTAGTCTTTCTCTGCAGTGGGGACCCAAGCAGGAGGGAAACAAACTCAGTAGGGTATGACAGAGTCCATCCTGCAAAGCAGCCGTTTTCTCCAGGGGAGCTGATCTCTGCCATCTGGAGAGCAGTTTTAATTCTGAGTGATATCCAGCCCTCACCAGGAGATTGGCAACAATCATTCCCTAGGAGAAAATAACTTCTTTGGAGGGTGGAATCTATAGCATTCTATTCAGTTGAGACCTCTCCCCTCTTCAAACTCTGGCTTCTGTAGACTCCACTACAAAATCTCCAGGGATTTCCCAACCTGGAGCTTACAACCCTACTCAGGACTGGCCCCAATGAGTTCCCCACAAAGGCCAAAGTTGGCCTGGAAAGGGCCTCCTTCCCCTGCCTTTTTACTGACAGAACCGAGTGTGGTTGCCTAGCAACAGCCACTGAGGGAAAGTTAGCCCCACAACAAAAGGAGAAGACAATGGTTTGACAGCTGCTTGCCCATCTCAGTAGGAAGCCTGTCACAGAGGAGCCAAGCAGAAGTAGAAGTGTCTTTGTTAGGAGAGACAGCCATTTTGGTAGTTTATTCTGTCAAAAGAGTGCCCAGTCTGGCAGTGGGCAGGAGAGAGGAGCGGACCCAGCCCCCAGCCAATTTCATGTAAGTACTCTTGAGTGGCAGTTGATGGGCCAATGGCTGATGGAGCACACAGTACAGCCAATGGGAGAGCTAGAAAGTGTCAATGCATTAGGGCTTTTATACATATCAGATGAATGGTCAACATTCAGTAATTGGTATTAAGAATGGTGAAACTATGTTCCTTCCTAGCTAAATATTTACCAAAATGTTACCTTTGAATCTTTCATTCCTGTAAGTCTTAATAGTGAGTATTCTGGCTGTGGTTAAAAGCAGAGAGAGAGAGAGAGAGAGAACAACCAAAATCAAATTAGATTAAAAATATGATGTGTCATGTCATCACTTCCAGTGTGCCCTGCACGGTAATGTTGCTTAGCATTTCAGTAACACTTATCATATGGAATATGTTTGTAAGCCCTACCACCACTCTCTCAGACAAGTCAGTTTAATTATGCCATGTTGCCCTACAAGAGTCTTGTGCAGCATTTATAAAGTTATAGGCTAGGGCTGTGAGTTGAACTATATAATAGATGTACCAGAGACTGAACTATACGGTAGCCCAATGATGATGCCAACCTCCCAGACTGTAGACATGTGACCAGCCAAGGGAAGCCTTGCCAGGAAGCAGTGTGCTAGCCAGACCTATACCCACAGACATACTCAGTACTTTGAAACCCTGCATCCCTGCAGAAGATGAATCAACCTCCCTGATGCCAGAAATAGGCAGCAGCCAGCAAGTAGAAGCCATGCTTTACACCAGAAGCCTGAGTGTTCCTAGAAAGGACTCAATTGAAAGACTTCTCCAGCACACAGGCAACCTTCCACCCACACCCACACCTTCTCCTAGCATTACCACACTACTCATCCCAAGTTAAACAATAGAACTTGGCCATGATGAGATCACCTGAGCAGCTAAGCACACATACTGCCCATCAAGATAATGATGATACAGATCACTGGATCGTTGGCTAACCAAGCACTAGGAATGACTGCCTTTTCTTTTCCTCTGTTTACTCTTAAAGGTGTCACCATTAACAAACCTTATGTCAATTGCCCAACACTTAATCCCATTCTTTTAGCCCATTAAGGAACTAGCAGCTTCTAGCAGCTTCCTGGGGACTATGTGCTTGGTGACTCATGTCCCAAACCCCTCTTAGGGTATATAAAGAGAATATCTGCCCATTGTTCACTCTCTCTCTTCTGCCTACCTAACCCCTCCCTATCTAGCCGACTTCAGTTGTAGTGCTGTCTGAAGTCCTCCACGTGTGCTGCTGGCCATCACACAATCCCCCTTCCCTAGTATTTCCCCCCATTTTTCACAGCAGGATCACCTTGTTGCGTCGAAAGTATAACCCCACCAATGGTACTTCCTGCTCATACAATTGTCACTGTACTATTCTATCTAATTTCCTAGCTCTGTATTGCTTGAGTGTGTAATTGTTTTATTCCAAATGTATGTGAGTTTGAATGTTCTATTAAAAGAAATCATATTTAAGATCTAGTCCCCTGGTCTATTTCTGGGGATCTGAATAAATTGAACTCTGGTATACAAAGGTCATTGCTCCCTTAGAGCCAATTACTATTTAATATTCATAATTCCCTATCTTTATTTAGGAAATAGAGCAATTCGGCTAACACCCATACTGCAGGCCACATGAGCCTGAAATTTAGGGAATATCCCTTTATTTAGGGGGGGGGAATCAAGTCTAAATTCCTCCCGGAAGCTAAAATGATTAAATTGACCCTATCCAGCCCCACAGGAGACAGCCCACAGCATGCCTCCTAGGGGCCGCATTTGCCTCCTCATGAGGAGGAATGGAGGAAGGGCTGAGGTGCAGCCTTAACTCCGAGATGGGGAGCGGAGCCAGCACGGTTCTTAAAGGCTGGCTCCGCTCTCCCCTGTCAGTTGATCGCCTCGTGCTTTGGTCACATTATGAGAAGACAAGACTCACTGGAAAAAGCCAGTAATACAAGATAAAGTTGAAGGCAGCTGGAAAAGATTATGAGATGGATTGACTCACAAAGGAAGTCATGGCCATCATAGAATCATAGAGTTGGAAAGTTATTATTTCATAGTTCATATTATCATAGGTTATTATTTCATAGGATCGCCATAAATCAGAAGTGACCTGACAGCACTTAAAACACATAAGGAAAAAGCCAAAAGATCTGTATGGTCAAGAGGTCATAAGGAAGTGCAGTGAAAAACTGCTTTAGGTTATTATTTCATAGGGTCGCCATAAATCAGAAATGACCTGACAGCACCTAAAACACATAAGGAAAAAGACAAGAAGTCATAAGGAAGTGCAGTGAAAAACTGCTGACCTACCCATAGATATACACAAGAAGCTGCCTTATACTAAATCAGGACATCAGTCCATCAAGGTCAGTATTGCTGGAGTGGGTTGCCATTTCCTTCTCCAGGTGGATCACGCTTGGTCTGAGTTCTCTGCTGTGGCCTGTCCGTCTTGGGTGGCCCTTCACGGCATAGCCCACAGCTTCATTGAACTGCGCAAGCCCCCTCGCCACGACAAGGCAGTGATCCATGAGGGGGACCTACACATAGATATACACATGAAGCTGCCTTATACTAAATGAGGACATCAGTCCATCAAGGTCAGTATTGTCTAGTCAGACCGGCAGTGGCTTTCCAAGGTCTCAGACAAGGTCTTTCATATCACCTGGTCCTTTCAACTGCAGGTGCCAGGACTGAACTTGGGACCTCTTACATGCTACGCGGATGCTCTCCCACTGAGCCACAGCTTCTCTTCTTTAAGCACTAACATCACAATGCAGGGATGCCAGCAATGTGGTTTTGCAGGGATTGGTCCTGGGACCGTGTGATTTAATTTGTTGTGGATTATTACTTAAGAGGCCAAGTTGACCTATGATACCAAACGACTCAGGATGGGGAGAACCAAAGTGGGGCATACGAAGAGCCAAAAGATGTTCTCTGAACTTGGAGAGTGGATGACAAACTGGCAAATGAGATTCAGTTATGCCGTTTGAATCTCAAATGACAGTCAACGACTAAGGAAGAGTTCTCGGAATCATCGCGGATGGCTTGATGAACACGTTGACTGGGTGTGAAGCTGTAGTGAAAATGCAAAGTATATGCTAAGCGTCATTTGGAAAGGGATTGAAAATAAAACAGACGCTATTGTGATGGCTTTGAAGACAATACCGTTTTTCTGCATCATATCCACATTCTGTTTCATGCTTGTTATGTTATGCTCATTCAGATTTCGATAACCTGAGTCCGAGTATGCTGCTCATTTGACATCTTCTCCTATCGATTATATCAACCCACACTGTGGCCATTTGATGTCTCTTTGTATCGACTGTGATTGATTATACTGTGTAATCCACATTGCGCCTCAGTGAGATAGCTGGACTATAAACACAGTAAGTAAATAAATAAATATAGGAAGGAAACATAGGGCAACCCTTGCACAAAACTGAAAGTGCTGTTCCTTACAATTTCTGACTTGGGATCTATATTCCTAACAGCCAGTCATGATATGAAACCAGGTGCCCACTTCAATCAGCCTGGCAGGATCTTTTAGTGATCCATAGATCTGGCAGGTATATTGTAGATCGGAACATGCTTTTGCAATTGAAGCACTTATCCAGTGGTATGATCATTATGAGAAACCAGCTCTGCTTCATCTGCTGCCTTCAAAACCCTGTGGGGTCACCGTAAGTTATCTGTGATTTAAGGGCTATTTGCACACATGATGCATGAAGAGAGTGGAGAGAGAGAGAACTTTTCCTCCCTTTCTCATGATGCTAGAATTTTTGGGCATCAAATGAAGCTGAGGGGCAAGAGGACAGATAAAAGGAATACTGCACTCAAAGAGAAATTATCCTGGAAGCACTTAAATGGGAAAATGACCTTGAGGGATAGTTTAAACCCTATCACCATGTATTGTATCCAAATTCCATATTGGTTTTGGTTGAGGTGGCAGATGTTCAACTGTTCTGGCCTTTCCTGTTCATGGCCCTGCTGTTTTAATAATACAATTGGGTACCGGAGCTTTCTGGTGTACCTGTGTTCATCTGATACGAGTTATGGGGTTTGCTGCTATTATGTATTATGCCATCTATTGTTTTATTGGTTTTATTGGTTTTATTGTTCTGTGGATTTTATTTTGTATGTCGTCCTGAGCCCACTTGTGGGATAGGGTGGGGTATAAATTAATTAAAATATTATCACCACCACCATCACCATCATACTTGATGATGATGAAGAAGAAGAAGAAGTAGATGATGTCATCTCCTGCACAGTGGCTGCTTAGATCATTTAAAAAAACCTCAGGAAATCTGCCTGTGGATTGCTAAACCAAGTTTAGGTTGACAGTCTACTTTTTAAAAAAGGTTAATATGTCAATTCTCACTTGATGTCCTATTTCTTTTAAGTCTGAATGTTCAGACATTAGATGGTAGATGATCCGATCATCAGTATTTTATTTTTGGCTCTTGCTATTTTTTTCCTGGGGGAGGAGATGTGCAATTATAGCAACACTTCATCTATTCCAGGCATATCTGCTCCTATTCAATTATATCCTAGGGATTTCTGGAGGTGGGGGTCAATGTGTCTTCCCAGAGTGATGTGTCGGTGAGGACAAACATATTTGCTTCAAAAGTTCTGTAGACCGTTATACTAGAAGGTTCTCAAAAGTTGTGCAGAATGATTGTCTCCCCTATAATCATCAAAATATCTGTTATTTGTTCATCCAATCAAAGCCCCAGTCATTGTCCAGAAGGTAGTTGGAAATAATTTCAAAAGGAACAAAGGAGAGATGTTTGTGTATGATGAATCAGTGTCTCTTGACCAGCACTCAAACCATGCCTTTATAACATGAAACCATAAGAGTCATCCACACACTGTAGATGATGCTGTAGAATGACCTGGAAGAGTCTATGTGCACAGAACTGCTTTCCCATCAGGATGGTAAAGTCCGTATTGTTGTTGCTGCTGCTGCTGCCTCACATGGTGTGCAAAGTGCATAGTTTGAAGTGCAGCGGGAATAAGCCTCTTCAGATTCTACACCAGTGGTACAAGCCAGGTGAAATCCTTTTTGGTGAGATTGCAACTCATATTCGTTACATTTCCTATGAGGCTTCCTTCAAGAAACACCCATCTGAGGACTTTATTCACCTTTCAGTGTAAGTAATCACTCACACCCCAATGAATGAGAACTGATTTTATTTTGATGACACTTTAAATTTATATGATACAAATTGCTTCAGTCTGTTTCTTTGAAGGGTATAGAGGAAAGAATATGCTGAATGGGTACTATGACTTGTGTTCTTCAAAATCAAAGGCCTGGAAGTCAGTAAAGTCAGTGCCCCACATAGTAACTGTTTCAAGGCCTGATACATCATAAACCTTTTGGATGTGTTATAGTATGTGTGTACTGAGCCAGTAATGGGAACACAATCGGTCATGATCCACTGTGGTTAAGTTCAGTATTGGCAACGGGAAAGCAAGAAAGCAAGGGAAGGAGGGAAAACCCTTAAACAGGGAGGTTAATATAAAGAAAAAGCAAAAATCACTGAATGGCATGAGTTTCAGTACCAATTATACTAAATGTGACCTTGACGGGCACAGTTCATGCCAGGAAGTATTGTACTTGCTAAAAAATGAATGTAAAGCAATTGGAGTAAATATATGGGAGCCTGTGCATGATTTGGGGGAAAGCAAACAGGCACCTCACCACCACCTTTCACGTTAGTCAAGCTCTGACTCACCTGATAATTTTGTATTTATTAAAAGAAACTTGTGATTCTGTTTTTGTTTTTTTTATAAAGCACATAATAGATTGAATTCTTTGACACAGGCAGTGATGACAACTATGGGTATAGATGACTTAAAGAAGGTATTAGACCAACCAACTAAAGATCTGTTCATTATGTTCACTAAAATGAGCCTGCAGACACCCTGGCTTTGAATAACAGTTGCTAGAGGGGAACAGAGAGGATGGTTGTTCCCGACAGTGTTGGACTTGTGGGTTTTACATATGGGTTCATTTTATAACCAATATTGTATAAAAACCAAGCATTGTAGTGTTCTGCTTTTAAAAAGAGAGTGCTTATATTTGCAGCATGGTGACCAAGTTTTACCAGCACATTCTGGCCTTAGTGTTTGCTATTGAGGAGCTCAATCGTAATCCAAACATTTTGCCCAATGTCACTCTGGGCTTCCGCATCTATGATAGCTACATCGATAAAAGATGGACTTATCGGACCATTCTTGACCTGCTCTTCAAATCTGATGGCTTTTACCCAAACTTCTATTGTGGCATTGAGAAACTTGTGGTAGGCATCATTGGAGGACTTAGCTCTGAAACTTCTTCATGCCTGGCAGACATCTTAAGTCTTTACAAGATTCTACAGGTAGGGTCAATGCATGGGGAGTGCGAGATGGTTTTCCAGTCTCCAGTCTCATTTGAACTTTACTTATATTTCTGGTCCCAATTTGCTTGGTCAGAAAGAGGGAGAGTGGTAATAGAAAACCAGAAACAGAGGTGGAATATGTCTAGTAGTATTGAACTGTGATATGAATCTCTCAAGTTAATTGCAAGGAAAAGTTTCCGTTAATGTGTGTTCAATAAGGGGGGGCATAATGTTTCTCACTGGGTGAAGGGCATGTATAGATGGAGACATGATGGGGGGAAAGATTATGTGTGTTACAGAGTAGTGTTCTTATATGATTGGTCCAGGTTGAATGTTCACTGGAAGGAAAAGAAGGCTAAATGTAAAATCCAGAAGTCCAATTCATTTTTTTTTTGAACTGGTTCCAAGGCACTAAATTCTGGCTCAATCTCATTAGATCAGAGAAGCCTTGGGTAGTACTTGGTTAGTACTGGGACGGGAGACTACCAAGGAAGACCTGATCTGCTATGCAGAGATAGGCAATGGCAAAGCACCTCTGTTAGTCCCTTTACTACGTTCACACTGTCTTGATGCCGAACTTAGTGCGGACATCCAATCGGCATAGCCCGCTGCAGCCCAGAACTCCTGAGATCATCCGATCCACCGGCCTCAGCCTCCCTGGCAGCGGGGATTACATACATTCCATTCCATTATTTTCTGAAAGAGATAGGCAATGGCAAAGCACCTCTGTTAGTCCCTTTACTACGTTCACACTGTCTTGATGCCGAACTTAGTGTGGACATCCAATCGGCATAGCCCGCTGCAGCCCAGAACTCTTGAGATCACCGGCCTCAGCCTCCCTGGCAGCGGGGATTACATACATTCCATTCCATTATTTTCTGAATCTATCTAAAAGAACCTTTGACAATTAAAATGCTCTAATTACTTCTATTCTAAGTCTCTTCTGCTTGGGCTAAATACTAAAATCAAACTCTTAATAAAGCACAGTGACAGCTGGCATTATACATGTCAAGAGAAATGTCAGAAATCACATTCATCAATCACATCCATTGATCCCTTGTCCTACAGTCTGGACACAGCTGCAGAGTTTTGCAAGTGTTCAGCTCTAATGATTACTCTGTGCAAACAGGATGTGATATGTAGCAATGGGTGAATGAGCATCCCATGGTGAAATTTAAGTAGATTTGTAAAAAGGAAAAGAAGGAGTAAAAAGCTCCTGACATATTACTATTCCCTCTCTGTAACTTTTTTTCTTTTTCTAGATTTCATTTGGTTCATTTAAATCAACAGTGAATGACTTGATTCATTTCCCTTCATTTTACCGCATGGTCCCCAATGAAGCCCTTCAGTATGTGGGAATTGTCCAGTTGCTTGTCCATTTCAGATGGAAATGGGTTGGGTTCATCACTCCCGATGATGAAGGTGGAGAACATTTCTTGGAGATGTTAGAGCCAATGCTTTCTAAGAATGGAATCTGTGTGGCCTTCACAGAAAGGACTCTAACAAAGGTCCAGCTTGGTAGTTTAGATGATCTGCTGAAATTTAGTGACAGTAATGCTGCATCTTTTCTGGACAGCAAAGCAAATGTTATTGTTGTATATGGAGACACCGCAACCACTATGTGGCTGGCAAATACTCTCTGGGTGCCAGCACAAATGGTGTCCATAAGAGAGACAGAACCTACGGAGAGAACATCTAAAGGGATAGTGTGGGTTACAACTGCCCAGTTTGATTTTGCGATAACTCATTTTCAAAAGGAATTTGACATACAGATTTTCCATGGTGCTCTTTCTTTCACAATTCACTCAAATGCAATCCTAGGATTCGAAACATTTCTTCAGATTAAAAAATCCTACTGGACTAATGAGAACAGTTTTAATAAAGACTTCTGGGAAGAAATATTTGACTGTGAATATCCAGATTCTCTTAATCCAACCAATTCTGATAAAACATGTACTGGAGATGAGAAACTGGAGAGTGTTCCAGCAACATTCTTTGAAATGAGCATGACTGGACACAGCTACAGTATCTACAATGCTGTCTATGCTATAGCACATTCCTTGCATATGATGTATTCATACAGAGCCAAGCATGCACTTGTGAAGGATGGTGACAAACTGGCTTTTCTAACCCTTGAGCCCTGGCAGGTAATCTCTCCCCACTGCTGAAGACTGCTCCCCACTGCTGAAGATGGGTCTCATGTATTGCTTTATGGTCAAATCACCTATGGAAAATGGGCATTTACCTTTTACTAGGTATCTCTCTCCCCTCCTTGCCAAATATGAATACAAGAAAACTACAATAGTTCTAGCCTAATTCCTCCAAAGGATATCTTACTAGAAGTCCATTAAGCTGGACAACAAATTGAGGACTTCCTACTGTCTTCTTGTAACCAGTATTTAAATTGTATGTGCTACACTGCCATCTTTCTTCAAATGCAAAGTAGTTTCATTCATCAGTTGCTTCAATTCCTGAATCGAAGTCTGTCTAGATTTTTTTTTAAATCCCATGATGAATATTCCAATAAAATGTTATCCTGCTTTCTCATTCTACCTAGCTCCACCTATTTCTTCAGAGAATCTCATTCAACAACAGTGCTGGAGATGAAATTATGTTCAACAGATATGGAGAATTAGTAGCTGGATTTGACATCACCAATTTGGTCACTTTCCCAAATAACTCCTATATACGAGTCAAAGTTGGAAAGCTGGAGGCTCAGACTCCTCCCGGAAAAGAGCTCACTGTTCATGATGATAGAATCAAATGGCATGGCGACCTCAGTCAGGTGGGAAAGAGATGCATTGTCTCTGAAATGCTGATACATTGACTTTAGCTTTCAGGGAAACAGATCTTCATGCAGTGGTTTTTAAGGGCCCAAAAACTTCAGCAATGTGACATACAATAATGGTACCATTAGCTTGGCCAAGAATCTAAAGTTTAAATTTAAAGAATTTAACATTATGGACATTAGTTGATGCTCTTTATTTGAATATTTTTTCGTTCCTGCTAGATTTATCTGTACCTGTTGGTATAGTGGATCATGCCATCTTTTTGAGAGCTTGGTCACAGGAGTAGGTATCATTTAATGTGCGTTGAATTGGTTTAAACCATTCCTTATGGACTAGTCTCAAGAAATTGCTATCGGAGGGGGGGGGCTTGTTTTATGGGTTTCCATATTATTCAACCTCTATATAAAGTCCTTAAGAGAAATCCTGCGTAGCTTTGGAATTGGTTTACATCCATATGCTGACAACATCCAGCTCAATATCTCTATATCCAAATCTCCTGCAAGTGCAGTAGAGGTTTTGACTTACTGTCTGACTTTTGTGGTTAAATGACTAAGAGAAAACAAATTGCACCTGAATCCTGATAAGACAGAAGTACTGCTGGTTGGCAACACTGAGGCTTGAAGGATATTGTAGAACTTCCCAGCTTTGATGGGGTTCAGCTAACTTTTATTGTCTCAGTTGAGAGCCTATGGGTTATTCTGTACCCAGCTTACTTATGGACTAGGAAGTTAATGCTATGGAGGGGAGCTATCCTGGAAGAGATGGCCCTTTACCTTGACTCAGCCTATCTAGCAACCTGTATCTATACTATGGTAACATCAAGGTGAGGCTATTGCAAATGCACTTTTTATGGGTCTGCCCTTGAAGTCAGCTCTGTAGTATGATCATTGGGAGGTTTAAAGGGTGCCTTCTGTTTTTCAGGACATGAAGACTTTCCACTTCCCAAAAAGTAGAGTGATTAATGCTCAGCAGAGAAGTATTTGAATTGTCCCTGTTGCTGTTTAGTTTTTTATGTTTTTGCTCTCAGCTTTGCTGAGCATATGAAGGAGGTGTATATTCCAATGTAAGTGCACACACACATGAGCATCTTCTCAACTCTATATACTTCCTTTGTTGAAGGGTAGGTACCTCCCATATCTCTGTGCAATGACCTCTGCTATCCTGGTTACAGCAGGAAAATGAAGGAGGGAGAGAAATTCTGCTGTTATGATTGTGATCCATGTCCCAAAGGGAAGGTGTCAAACCAAGAAGGTAATAGATGCATTCTTAAGACATAGGAATTCAACTAAATATCTGGGTCAGAATGGAGTGGCGCCCAGAAGGCAATTTAATATCTGCAGATGGAGGGGGGCATTTGAGAAAGTGGTTAAAAGTGATTTTTCTTATTTATCCATTTCACTACTTATTTTCAGTGATTTAATTAATTCTTTGAGGAAAGGATTAATAGCTTAAAAGGAGATACCACAACAAAGTGCAATTTAGGCATAACACCAGTGTGGCGGAAATTAGTCATGAGTCTTACAGTATTGAAAATCAGAAGGGTTTGCTTTACCTTTAGTGGCCATGTACCAACATTTGCCTAGGTACCTCAGAGTTTTGGAGGGAAAATTATATAATAAAAAAGATAACTCTTTCGGATGTGGCCAATGATTTAAATTCTAGCCTAAGGAAAATGGTTTGGGGAGAGGAGATAAAGCATCTGATGATCCTATCATGCTCTACAAAGCAATATATGTCTTATGATTCCATTATCATTGGGGGAAGCAGAGTTTCCAAGGAAGAGACATTCACAGCAGATCATGCTATGGATCAATTTGCCCAAGCCCCATTAACTTCAAATGAGGCACTGGACTTAATTGGTCAAAGAAATCTGGCCAGCCAATTAGAAGAGGATGATTTACCTAGCTGCACCCTCTCACCTTCAGCTTTTTTCATTTTTTCTTTGCTGTGGTTGACCCGGCCATCCTCTCCATAGGCAGCATGGGATCAGCTGGTTAACCGTAGTTGGAGAGGGAGGTTTGCCAGATTGTCTAAGTGTGAAGCACTTGTTCTTTTCTGTCATTGTTGTCAGGGCATTCGCAGATAAACAGGCCTATTGCAAAACTGGTCAGACCACAGCTAGTTGTCAAGAATGGGGGGGGAGTTGCTTGGGATAGGTAGGGTTAAAGGGCAAGCACACCAAGACACTTGCATGATGGAAGGTGTATCCAGAGCAGGCCATCGCATGCCTTGAGGCTGAGCATTCTGTGAAGGAGTGTTCTGGTGCAGAGTTGCACTTTTTGAACCTGGTAGGAACCTAGTGGCACATACGGGGAGAGGGACAAAGCATGGCACCTCTCTGCACATACAGTTGTGCAAGTTTCTAAATAATTTACCTTCCTCTTTCAGGCATGGATTATTGTGTCTCTTGCCCAGAGGGTCACTATCCAAACAAGGTCCAAGATCAATGCATCCCCAAGATTCCAAGATTCCTTTCCTTTGCAGATCCTTTGAGCATTATTTTAGCCTTTATGGCTCTTTTCTTTTCTCTGATCACAGCTGTACTGCTTGCAATCTTCATCAAGTACAAGGACACACCTATAGTCAAAGCCAACAACCGGAGCCTCAGCTACATCCTTCTGGTCTCTCTCTTTCTCTGCTTCCTCTGCTCTTTGCTCTTCATTGGAAAGCCTAACCAGGAGACCTGCCTCCTCCGACAAACAGCTTTTGGCATCATCTTCTCTGTCGCTGTATCTTCTGTGCTGGCAAAAACCATTACAGTGGTGGTGGCTTTCATGGCCTCTAAGCCAGGAAACATTTTCCGGAAGTGGGTGGGGAAATGGTTGGCTCATTCTATTGTCATTTCCTGTTCCTTGGTTCAAATAGGCATTTGTGCTGTTTGGTTGGGTGCTTCTCCTCCATTCCCAGATTTGGATATGCACTCACTGACTGCAGAAATTATAATACAGTGTAATGAAGGGTCTGTTAGCCTCTTTTTTTGTGTTCTGGGCTATCTGGGCTTCCTTGCCATTGTCTGCTTCACCATGGCCTTCCTAGCCAGAAAGTTACCGAACAGTTTTAACGAAGCCAAGTTCATCACCTTCAGCATGTTGGTCTTTTGCAGTGTTTGGCTTTCATTCTTTCCAACGTACATGAGTACAAGAGGAAAAGACATGGTGATTGTGGAGATTTTCTCCATCTTGGCCTCCAGTGCTGGGTTATTGGGCTGCATCTTTTTGCCCAAATGTTATATCATTATACTGAGGCCTGAGATGAATATCAGAGAGTATTTAATGAGAAAAGAAATTCAGGTATTTAATAATTAAATATGAAATAGTCTCCAAGATCCATTGAAAAATGCAATATAAAGAAGCCCATGAAATTAATGATGAAAGAATGATTCTGTAATAGTCATTTAAAATGTTTATGCTGTGTTCGGTCCTGGCAAGCACTTTACCAGCTTTGTACCTTTGAATCTTTTATTTCTGTAAGTCTTAAAAGTGAAAATTCTGGCTGTGGCTAAACTAGAGAGATATTAATGTCGGGGACCTAATCCGTTATGCATACGTTTACAGTTTGCCCTGAACAATCATGTCCCTTAGCATTTTTGACAGGTATAGCCAGAGATATAGGGGAACAGTTAGTGAACTTGACCAAAAAAAGATCACAGAAGTTGTCTCTGTGCACAGAAATAGAGGTAGCATGGCCTATCAGTTAAACCTGACAACAAGGGAGTTTAGAGAACAAATATTTTTAAATAGACTTTGTTAAGATGAGAAGGTGCAAAATTGAACTAACAGTTTTTATATATCCTAAGAAATTATTTTAAGTCTAGATTATTTTATATGGTATTCAAAGTTCTAAAATACTTAGTTGACCCAAAATGTGTACCCTTATCAAGCAGGACAGTAAGCTATTGTTAGGAGATGATGTGAAATGCCTGTAAACATGGGAAGTATGAACTGACTAAAGGCGTCTTCTCAGAAGAGGTTCCATGCTTATGAACTCATATTTGGGGCGAAATACTTCTATGTTATACTTCTCCTTTAATTATCTATGTACGTTTCTGTTCTTTTAGTCAATGTTAATAAGGCAGTAGTTATGTTTTAATTAAAAAAAAACCTCCAATTGAAGAAGAGATTCTCTAGTAGTATTCATTTGTGTACTTTGCCTGTAATGAACCTAAAAAGAGTGAGAACTATGGAAAAAACCCAATACTGAGAAGTGTGACTCCCAAAATATTTTATACTGGAAGTGTGCCCACTGACTGAAGCAACAACCAGAGAGATTATCCTCTTTTGCAAACTGGAGCCAAAATAGACTTATAACAAAAATCATAACAAGCCTTGCTCCCCAGTGGGGATGGAAAGTGGCTCAAATTGTTTTCCTCTCTGCCATTTTATCTTCACAGCAACCCTGCAAGGTAGGTCATGCTGAGAATGTGTCAGTGGCCCACGGTTACCCAGCAACCTTCAATGGCAGAGAGGGGATTCCACTTGGATCTCTTTGACCCAAATCTAACACACTAAACCCTTTTTAACACAGGCTCTGATAGCTCACAAATGTTCTTAGCCCCCTTTTCTTTTGTAAAGGAGGAAATATTTTCCACTTTCCTTTTATGTGCTGCCTTTCTCCACAATAGAACCCCACAGTGGATCACATCATTCCCCTATCCTCCATTGTATCCCCTCTTTAACAATCCTCTGAGTTACATTTGAATGAAATGGTGTGATTAACCCAAGATCACACAACACCCCTCTGCAGTGTTCCCTCTAAGCTGAGTTAGTGTGAGCTAGCTCACAGTTTTTTAGCCTCCGGCTCACACATTTTTGTCTTAGCTCAGGAAGAACAGCTCCAGATCAAACTAATGTATACTGTAGCCAAAGTCTGAGGAGGAAATTGGGACTTTAATACGTGTGTTGGAGTGCCCTCTTTATATTCACCTTAGAAATAGGTTTTTAACATAGTACCTGTTAGATTGCACTAACAAAGACTCTGAGAATGATTTCAGCTAAGTGATTCAGCTTTAATGAAGTAGCGAACAAGCACTCAAACACATCCAAAACCAGAACGGTTTAACATTGGGAGCTAGGCTCCTTTTAAACATTCCTGGGCTAACATAGCCACACCTATTTACAATAATCAACCAATAACGTTGCTTAGATAAGGACCAATAGGAGTTCTTCCTGCTCAGGGACTGTGTGTTATTCTGATTGGTCGCTGGTGGAGGGTGACCAATCGTATGTTAGTTCGGAGGAGCCTTCGCCGGCTCGAAGCTTAACATTGAGTGTCAATAGGGCGATTCAAGTGAGGATTCCAATACATCACAGTACCTAGATAATTTTTCATCTTTGTCTCATCTATCCTGCTAAGGGTCCATTGTTCCTAACTGATTTGTGTAGGTTGTGTGGTAAGGTGCTCTGTGAAAGAAAAGAGCAGCTTTCACCCTGCTGAGATACTGTGTCCTGAGAAAGGGGACTCCAATCTCCTCTCAGGGGTTATTGACTTTATTTGAGAGTCAGCTTTATATATTGAGAGTTCCATACATCATGTTTACCTTATTAAATATCTTATTTTCTGATAAACAATCTTTTGCAGATCAAAAAAGCCAGTGTTCTCAAGACTTACAGTCCAACAAAATTAGATAGAAAGACAACTTTTGCCAGTCCAGGAAGGTGGGGGGAACACCAAGAACAACGAATAAATCCAAGTTTAAAAAAATAGAAAGGGAAAAAAGGGAGGGTAAGCGGGCTTTAAACACTGTCTCTCACTCCCCCCCACCTTCAAATCTCCTTCTGTGAAGGTACTTATTACAACCAGATAGGGAGGAGAGAACTTTAAGTTATAACTCACAGACTTGAGAAGATTGCAGGCAGATTCTATTTATTCTTATATAATTGAGTTGTTCTGTAAGGTTCCCTTGCTCGAAAGCCAGTCGAATCCAACTCTAGGGTTGCGGTGCTCATCTCCATTTCAAAGCCGAAGAGCCAGCGCTGTCCGAAGATGTTTCCGTGGTCATGTGGCCAGCATGACTAAACACCAAGGTGCTCGGAACGCTGTCACCTTCCCACCAAAGTGGTACGTATTTATCTACTTCCAATTTCTTGCTTTCGAACTGCTAGGTTTGCCAGAGCTTGAAGATGGGAGCTCTCTCCATCATGTGGCACTCGGGTCTTGAACTGCTGAACTACTGAACTTCCACTGCCTGCAGTTCAGTGTCTTAACCACTTGAGCCACCGCAGCTCCGAGTTCTTCTGTAGCACACAGCTAAAAGCCAGGATGGCTCTCTGTACCCCCTGGGTGAACAAGGTTCAAATCTCTTACTCTCAGACTAACTGAGAGAAGTGACCCAGAAATGCACCTCACTGACTTCAGAGTCCCCCTCCAGGAGCCTCCTTGAGTCTAGGATCCTCTAGACCCCCCAAAAGGTGGGCCATTTTGGTATGTCTCTGGAGCTTCTCCGAGACACAGCCAACAGCGGTGCTGCATAAACAGCCTTGAACCTACTGAGGTACCCTGTCCTGAGAAAGGGGAAACAAATCTCCTCTCAATGGTTATTGACTTTATTTGAGAGCCAGTGTTACTTTAAATATTGAAAGTTATCCACACATCATGTTTACCTTATTAAATACTTCATTTTCTGTTAAATAAACCTTTGTTGTTCATCTCCATCTGTTTGTTGTCCATCAAGTCAGAAATATAGGAAGCAGGAGTCTCTATTTGCCTCCCACATAAGTACAGCCCTAGTCTAGTAGGTTTCCAAATAAGAAGCTGTTAGGGAGCACATAGCTGACACACTACCAGTCCTTTAATTTAAAGTTTGTGTCTGTCACCTAATGCTGCCATGGTCTGGAATGTGTGGGGTGCCCAGCTCCCTTTCCTCCTCTTTACCCTCCCTTCCCCTGCGTCTCATCTGTTGTGTTATCTGTTTGGTGTCCTTGAAGGCTCAGCTCTGCTGGGTCCGCTTTTCCCGCTGGGAAAGTAACTGCTGTATTTTGCAGACATTTTCAGGTGCTTGGCTACTGGGTTTATTGGATCAGGGGGTCTGGTTTGAAAGGGGTATAACTGTTAACAGGCTACTCTTTCTCCCGCCATTCCTGACACAAGAGTTCATGGTGTCTCAAGTACTAACTCTCAATAAACTGAAACTTCTGAAGGAACGTTGTTGAGTGTTATGACTGGGAAGCCTGACCGTATCCCCCTATTTTATTTCATGTTGGCCAGCTGGGGTGAGGAGAGGTGAGTGATGATTTTATTTTCATCAGTCCAGAAAGCAGGTGCTTCAGAGCTTCTCCCCCTCACCCCTTCTCCCCCATCCCATAGCCACCACAACAGAAATAAAGTATGCTAGAATTAGGAATGCTCTTAAGGCATTTGCAAACACATTCTACAGTCAAATTTACCTTTTTTCATGGCGACTATTAAGGTGAGCTGATCCCCATATTTCTATGGTTTGGTGGTAAATCTCTCAAGTGCCTTGTCATTCAATGTTCAATTCACAGTTAAGGTATAGCACACCTGAATGCCCTACCTTCAGGTGTGATGTCTGGGAAATTTAATTGGATTTCATACTCAGAATGACTAATTATGGCAGCAGTAAAATTGATTCTGTGTATCATATATTTCTTGATATTCCCAAATTTTCAGCTCTAAGAGATGAACTGATCTCCCCTTTTGTAAATCAGGACTTCCTCTCTCCAGAAGCAGTTATTTAGAGATGAAGACAAACAAACTACTATGCATGTGGCAAAATTTCTAGCAGCTGTTGTCAAATCACAACATTTGCAGTAGGAGCCTTCAAATTCTTCCTTGTTTTTTCTGTGAAATGAGGTTTATTGTGGGATGAGGGTTTGTTGTTTATGACTCCAGTTGCAAAAACAGTTAAGACAATAAATAAGTATGGCTGATTGAGATAGTATGCCTCTCTGGCCAGTGTATCCCAGATAAGTTTTTATTAAAGTATTTTATTTCACCACTAAGAATTTACCAACCATTTAAAATCTTCCAATAAGTTTGATTAGTGAGCCTGATGATTGGTCTGTTCTGTGGATCGATTTACTATATTATAGAACATTCCTGCCCTTATTTTTAACCTAACCCAAATCTGTTATTTGACCTCCTTGTCTCAAAGCAACTATATCTTAATCAAGGGCTGGGGCCATATTGCCTTGTAGAGAGAATAGGGTATAAGGTTTGTTTTCTTTATGTCCCTCTTAGGAATGTGGAATGTACTCTAAATAGGGGTTAGAGTGACTTATGCTTAAGAACAGAAGCGCTGAACCTCCCCCCCAAACACTAGGCTCAGACATTTTATCTGTTTTATCCAGTTCCCTATGCCAGCTTGTTTGTGATTCCTCAACACACAGATGAGCTTGCATCAAGAATGATCCCACACTCTTAATACAATTGTGTGCTTATCTCTCCCAGATTGATTTTGAAGAAGAAGTGGGGTTGTGTTGGGTTTTAGCAAATGAGACATCACTTGAGTAAATGGTTATAATAGTCTGATAAATGTTTGTATGAATGTCATACTGCAAAGTTCACAGACTGTCAATAATTAACATAAGGAATAAGAAAGCAGTTCCATAAAAGTGTAAATCAACTGCCACAGTTTTGTTCAAGGAGTCTTAGCATTGATACATGTCTGTCACTTCATTGGTGCACCTATGGAAGAATACAAATTTGTATTGTTTTCATTTTTTCTTCTTTATTAAGATTTCCTTATTATTTAGCTCAGGCTTCAGGACAATGATGTAACACTTTGGAGAAAAAATGCAAGCCAGTAATCCAGCACCAGAAGCTAAAATGGAGAAGATCTCCACAGCCACCATGGATTTTCCTTTGGTGCTTAAGTAAGTAGGGATAAAAGACAGCCAAACACTACAAAAGAGTAACAAGCTGAAAGTGATAAATTTGGCTTCATTGAAAGTGTCTGGTAACTTCCTGGCAAAAAAAGCCACAACGAAGCCGACTGTAGCCAGGAAGCCCATGTAGCCCAAGACACAGTAAAACATGGCTGTTGAGCCCTCGTTACATTCCAGTATGATTTTGTCATTCATTGAGAGCATGTCTCTATCTGGGAATGGAGGGGAAGTACTTAGCCAAAGAACACAAATGCCTACTTGAAGAAGGGAGCAGGAAAAGATAACAGAATAGGCCAGTCTTTTCCCTACCAATGGCCTCATCCTAGATCCTGGTCTGGTAGACATGAAGGCCAAAACTACAGTCAAGGTTTTGGCTAACACACTAGAAATGGCTATCGAGAATATGATGCCAAAAGTTGTTTGTCGGAGAAGGCAGGTCGCTTTTCCAGGCTGTCCAATGAACAGCAAAGAGGAGAGGAAGCAATGAACAAGGGAGATTAGAAGAATATAGGTAAGGTTTCGGTTGTTGGCTTTGACTATGGGACTGTCCTGGTGCTTCACAAATATCCCAAGCACCATAACTGAAACCAGAGAGAAGAAAATAGCAAAGGTCGCTAAGAGAGTGCCTAATGGTTCTTTGTAAGAAAGGAAGCTTATATATTTGGGAACACAGCCATTTTGGTGATGATTGGGATAATGATCAGGTGGACATTTGACACAGGTATCCATGTCTGGAGAAAGAAAAGAAAAGTGGTTGAAACATTTTAAGACTTTTTTTGTTAATCTCACTCTCTTAATCTTAGCGCCCCAACTGCAAGATGGGAAGACTTTCTTGACTATTAATGATCATGACATCTGATTAAAGTTTACTTTTTAATCAGAGTATTATTCCTCATTTCATTTGTTTCAAAAAGCTGAGGAAGTCAAGGGAATTTCTTGGCAACTCCTGCAATTCTCCTCATCAAAGTTAACCAGTTTTAACGGATGATCTCCGAAACCAACTGCCAGGATTGGAGAGGGAGAAATACATTAATGGGATGGATCACAGGAAATCTGGTCCTCTTATATACTGTCTCAGTTTACAGGCTGTGTTAATGATTATTTCTGTAAAAGTTGAAATACTTTGAATGCTTAAAAAGTAGCATTCACACACTAGAGCTAGATTTCCCCTTAGTCTCAATAAACCAAAATAATAGTGGCCTATCTACCTGCTTTCATGATCCTGAAGACTATCCCCATATAAAGCCAAGAAGGCAACAATGAAGGTTGGAACTTTTAACAGTCGGACTAAAGATTGCATGTCAGAATCACAGCATCCAAAGAGGTGCAACATTCTGGGGAAAAACAAAAGAAAAGCCAAATGCCTATCAGTACAACTTGGTATACTTGGTTTATTTGTGTAGAATTTTGTGAATCTTATCCCTCAAAAAGAAAAACAATATGTGACAATTTCCCCCATACACTCCAGATCACATAATGTTTGGATCATCCTACATTGTTCTTTTTTAAGATACCCCATTAGAGTACATATTTGACTTTGTGTCTCCTACCCTTCTTCTCAGAGATCATTCCTTCTGGACATGGAACACAATCATAGCAGCAAAATTTCTCCCCTTCTTTCTTTTTCCTGCTGTACCCAGGCCAACAGTTTTCATTGCAGACAGAAACAGGCACTCCCTATTCATAAGCAAAGAGGAAGATTTGCATCAAGTGTATAACCACTGAGAAGAAATGCTAATCTGGCAATGCTTGACGTGTTGATATGGAAAGATGGCCACACATATCTCTCCTAGTGTGGAGAAGATCTTGAGGAATTTCTTCCTCATTATTTTCAGAAAAGAAAGATAAAAAGGTCACAGATCCTATCATAAGGTATCCTGTCATTCATCTCTAAAATATTTATATGGATAAGGAATGTAAATCTAGGCATATATCTGAAACAAGTTTCCCCCTCAAAAAACATTGATGATATGAATGAATGATGCTTTGAGATCTTACCACAATTAAAACTGAAGTACTTTATGATTGTTTCAAAACAGTTACACCTCACTTATACCTTTGTATCTATTGAAGAAAACTTTTACTTGCAAATGCTTACACCCTAGAAAATTTTGTTGATCCTTATGGTGAAACAGGTATATATGGTCAGATCACATAGTAGAAAAGGAAGATAACCTTTATGGAAAGCAGGTCTTTTGAGATAGAACTTTGAGGTGGGTTTTTTTCACTCAGCCTTGCCTATTTATCCTCCAAATCCTCATCCCACATGGCTTTTCTATATGTGGGTCCCAATCCACATCAGAGTCTTTTTAGATGGTCCTTGGTGACCCTTCCTCTCTTTTTATATTTTTATTGTTTAATTCTATTACTCAATTATACAATAGTTGTATATAAGGGTGTATTAACAAAATAGTAGGGAAGTGGAAAGGCTTCAAAGGCAAACTGAAAATAAGAACGCAAAAGAAAAAAATATTTTGAAATATCTTCTAAATTTTAAAAGTTTTTTCCAGTTTGATCACCAATGCAAGCATATTTCCATCCGTCCTCAGTACCGAAGTGAAGATGAAGAGTTGTTGAGTATTGGATGGCAAAAGAAATAAATTCATTCCAAACCTGAAAACCATCCACTATCAATTTTCTGCGAATCAAATTCGATAGTATATTTTTCTTCAAAGTTCATACCATGGCAGTTGTACATTTCATTATGGATTCCTAGTGTTGAGATATTTGTAGCAACGCAATGCTATTAAGATGAATTTCACTGGTCATTCATGTGACACACCTTTCATGCACTTTTCATCCTATGGCTCACCTGGTTAAAGGTTCTATGCCACACAATTTGATCATCATGAATGGTCAGCTTTTCATCTTGTGGAGCCTGAAGATCCAGCTTTCCCACTTTCACTCTCATGAAAGATCCATTTGGGAATGTTACCCAGTTGGTAATGTCAAAACCAACTCTCAGTTCTCCATTTTCGTCAAAACTCACAGTGTCTCCAGCACTGTTGTTGAACATAATACTTCTTAGAAAACGATGCAGCTGGTGGAGACAGAAATAGAAAGAAAAGAACCCTAACATGCTGAAGCCATTGCTACTATCTTTGAAAAGATTGGAAATTAGTAATAGATGACTGTGGCCGATACATCTTAAACAAACATTGTGTAAACTTTAAAAACTGCAGTTCCAGTGGATTCCTTGTGGAGGAGTTAAGGTCATTTCCCACCATTCTTGTTGGTATGAAAAATTAGATCAGTCCAGTTCATTTATCAACAAAATGATCACTGATAAATAATGGTCTACAGAATCAGCTGTTCTGGATAAGGTTACTTAGCCGTCCCCTGGATTGGTGAGGGTCACAGCTTGAGTAAATTGACAGACTAACAGACCTAATTAAGTACATTGAGACAGTGATGGAATTTAATGTGGGAGGAGTCTGATATCATTGCTTCCCCAGAAACCTTTCCACACAATCGTCCACTTCTCCATTCATGTATGACAAATGACCTAAGGGCTACTAGCATTTTAATCTTTCTCAGGAGGGTGTCTAGATTGCAGCGTCCTTTGCAGCAGTTTTGGAAGTTTATGTTTGGCGGTCTCCCTTTTAGGCATCAAAGGCTCTAAGTCTAAAATCTATTTTATAGGTCCTTTAACCAGTGTATAGAGGTACACTAGATGTAATCTTCCTTTAGAGTCTTCATTTGGTCATGGTTATCCACGCATTGATTACATTCAGGTTCAACAAATGTGATGCACTCTCGAATCCAACAGCCTCTGGAGATTGTACAATAGCTTCAACTGATCCAGAAAAGCAGCTCAAGTACACTAGCAGGAGAGAGGAGTGGGGAACATTTTTATGCCACTTTTAAGGGATCTGCACTGGCTACCAGTTTCTTCCATGTATCATTCATACTGATAGTTATTAGTTATTACACTATTTTATGATTCAGTTGTTGGCCATTTTATGGTCCCCATGCTGGATGGACAGGCAGCATGAGAATGGTTTAAATAAAAAGGGAAATTAATAAAGCAAAATGAAGACACATTTATTTTCTCAACACCTTGGAGAGCAGCTTGCATTGATTTATTCTATTTTCATATCTGCATATGTGTGTGCATGTGCATCCCGGTGTGAGTGTGTGTGCACCTGGAAGTCATGGTGACCTCTGGTGACCAGTGTTCCCTCTAAGCCGACTTAGTGTGAGCTAGCTCACCGTTTTTTAGCCTCCGGCTCACACATTTTTGTCTTAGCTCAGGAAGGAGGGCTCCAGAGCAAACTCATTGATGCAGCAGCCAAATCGCTTGCTCACAACTTTAATGCCAGGAGCTCACAAAGTAGAATTTTTGCTCACAAGACTCCACAGCTTAGAGGGAGCCTTGCTGGTGACTGGCCCCTATTAGGGTCCTGGAAGGTATTCTGAGAGGTAGCTGAATAAAACCTGCCCTCGCCTCCCGACCACTGGTATTCCAAGGAGGTCTCCCCTCCAAGTACTTGCCAGAGTCGACCCTGCTTAGTTTCCAAGATCTGATAAGATCAAGCTTGCCTGGGCAATCCAGGTTATGGCCTTTCACTGATTTCTTGTTCTTATGCAGGTACTTATTTATTTTGCTGCAAAGTTTTAGAAGGTTTCATTATACTAAATGTTGAGGGTTTTGGAACTCTATGTTACTACCAAATCTTAACAGAATATCCACCTATTGTTGCTGAGTCTGAATCCTTTCTGTGGTTGACTGGTTTCAACAGCTATTTTTTTTAACAATCTTTTTACTGGTTTTCAGAACAAACAAACTAACAAAAAATACCATCGCTTCTTACAACAAAGAGTTTTAGCGAACAGAAGTAACCTAATGATGTGTTCTCCTATCATATCTATCTCTCTAACCATAATTCAATTTATCTTTTTCCTAATTCATGTACCAGATCGTCTACCAACCCCTGGTTTCAACAGCTTGTTGATATATAGATATTTTCTTGCTCATTATTTTTATTATTCAAATAAGATATGAATTACACTTATTTCTGGAAGCACATCAAACATCTAGAGATGGAGACATGTGGTACAGATATTCAAAATAAATTAGTGGATGAATGAATGAAGGCCAACTGGAATGAGAGTATTTTATTTATTTATTTATTTATTTAATTATTTTTCGTATTTATACCCCGCCCTCCCCAGTGGGCTCAGGGCGGCTTACAGAGGCAAGAGTAGCACAGTGTCTTTGAGAAGCAAGTACCTGCCATGACTGCACATTCTGAAATCCTAGAGTCCTTTCTTCTTCCATTCTTCTGCGTCCAGTTCTGAATATATAGATAGAATGCAAAACATGTGCTGCTGCATAGACAGCATTGTAGACATTGTAGCTGTGACCAGTCATGCTCATTTCAAACAAAGTCTTTGGAATGGAGTCCAACTTCTCATCTCCAGTACACATTTCCTTGTTGTCCCCATGAACATCGAGATTTCCCAAGGAACAACTGAATGCCTGCTCCCAGAAGTTCTGGATAAAACCATCTCCTTTTGCCCAGGAAGGACTTAGGGACTGAAGGAATGTTTGGAATCCTGGTGGTTGATTGGAGTGAACAGCAAAAGATATAGCACCATGGAAGGCCTCTATATCCCAGACTCTTTGGAAGGAGAGTGATTCAAAGTCCCAATGGCATGTAATAAGCCACACTTTATGCACTGGTGGAAATGAAATGAAAGGGCCTAAGAACAACAACATTCTCAGACTTAACACGGAAGAGTTCTCTCCATATAGAAAACATACATTGGCTTTAGTTTGGAAATAAACAGTAAAATACTCTCTCTGCTTTGCAAACACCTCCACCCCATCTTGTAAGTAAGTCTGTTTTGGCAGTCTTACAGTGAAGTTAACACAGATGCCATTCTCAGAAAGCACTGGCATCAGGATCTTCAAGAACGTGTCCCCATTATCATCATCTGCAGCAATCAACACAATCCATGTCCATTTGAAGTGATGCAATAGCCGGATGACTGTCATGTATTGTGTAGCTTCGTTGGGAACCATCTGATAAATGGAATCGAGCAACAATGTGTTACCCTCAATGAGAGAAAAGGATCCATAAGTGAGCTGCAAAAATGATACATTTTTAAACAGATGGAATATATGATATCATTCAATCGTAAGCCAGATACATGATATCATTCAATCTTAAACCAGATAAATGAAATTCCCATTTCCCTGGATGAATGGCCTACCTGCGGCATCTTGTAAATCCTGAGTAGGGTGGCGATATTGGCAGATGTTTCTGACTCCAGTCCTCCAATGACTGCAATTGGATTGTTCTGTGCATCACACTTGAAATTGGGGACAAATCTGTGCTGTGAAGAAAGCAAACTCAGGCTAGCTTTAAAGGTCATCCTCCCCAAATAGTAGCTGTTGAGGATGTGGAAACCCAAAGTGATGTTTGGTAAGATGTTAGGATTCTCATTGAGCTCTTTTACAGCAAAGGCCAAGGCCAAGTTATGCTGGTAGTTCTTTGGCACTGATCTGTAATGAGAGTTATGAAGTGGTTTGATAGCCAAAAAACAAAAGTATACTCTTCATTCATTCTTCCTAGTTATATTTCACCCTCCCTTCCTATAAGTACTGTCTCTCTCAGAGTGCATCCAGTGTGAACTGATGGCATGTTAGGGAGAAGGTTGACATTTTAGGGTGGATGGTTAGGACAGATCTGTGTGTGAGACAGATGTGATTGAGAAGGAAACTGATCTACCATGTCTAAAAGGATCTCAGAGAAAGAGAGTGGAAACCCAATATTTAAAGGGTCAGGGACATCACAAAAATAATAGGGACATGATGGGTGGCAAATCTGGGACTGCCTAATCTATTTGGGTCCTGAACATAGAGGGAAAGGGGAGTCCTGAGTGGGAACGTTAGAGGAAAGGGGGTCACATGTGGCTTGATCCTTCAGCCTTACCATAGGCCAGGCAATTCGCTGCCCAACCAATAAGAACATAAAAGTAGCCAAGTTGCATCAGTCCAATGACCCATCCAGTCCAACACTCTGTCACACAGTGGCCAAAACCCAGCTGTCATCAGGAAGTCCATCAGTGGGGCAAGGACTCCAGAAGTCCTCCCACGGTGGCCCCCTAGGCTCCAAGAAGACAGAGTATCACTGCCCCAGACATAGTGGTCCATCTGTACCTTGTGGCTAATAGATCTCTCTCCTGGTAAATCTCCTGGTCAGTCACACCAGTTCGGACCCCATCAACATGTATTTATAATTGGGATTTTGGGCTCCAATGTGCATACCTTGGCACTTGGTCATGTTGAACCTCATTTGCTACACTGATGCCATTTTATCCGGCCACGACAGATCCCTCTGGAATGTCTCACAGTCCTTCCTGTTTCTCACCACTCTGAACAAATTAGTGTCATCTGCAAACTTAGCCACTTCACTGCTTACTCCCAACTCCAAATCATTAATGAACAAGTTAAAAAGCAACAGACCCAGTACCAAATCCTGTGGTACCCCACTGCTTACCACCCTTCACCATGAAAACTGCCCATTTATCCTCACTCTCTGTTTCCTGTTAATTGACCACTTTTTAAACCACAAGAGGACTTGTTCTCTCATCCCATGGCTGCTGAGCTAACTTTGATGAGGAACTTTATCAGAAGCTTTCTGGAATTCTAGGTAAACAACATCTGTTTGGTCACCCTTGTCCACATGCTTGTTCACCCCCTCAAAGAACTCTAACAGGTAAGTGAGACAAGATCTTTCTTTACAGAAACCATGCTGATTCTTCCTCAGCAGCTTTTGTTCATCAATGTGCTTAGTAATTCTATCTTTAATTATGGATTCCACCAACTTACCCATTATCAGTGTTAAACTAACCATCCTATAATTTCCTGGCTCTCCTCAATGAAATCCATTAAATTGGATCATCTGAGGGCAGAAGATCTGTCCAAGATTTTCTGTTTAAAATTACGCTCAGCTTTTACATCCATTCATTTTCATACACTGCTATGGTTGAAGGTTGCTACTCCCAAACTCCAGCTGCTCAGAGCCTCTGCATATGCCTCTCCACTTTACTCAACTCCAAGGAAGAAATTCTTAAATACTATCCTGGTCAACTTAGGCCTTAGTGCTGTGATGGGAAAAGTTCTATTTTTACTTGCAGATGCGGTTTCATACAAGGTTGCTCTTTTTGCCCTGGCACCCATGAAAATTCAAGCTAAGCTAGTGTCAGTAGAGGCCAGTTAAGATTTTAATTAGTATTCAATGGACATTTATGGGAGTTTTTTCTTTTCTTATGAAATAAGTTTTAAAATGTTAATTTTATAGTCCCTTAATCTAGTTTTATGGTACAGTAATTTATTGTATATTGTTTTCTATCACTAGTTTTTATCTCCAATATAATTTATTCAATTTTCAAAATTCCAATAACAAGTAATAGCAATCATTTACAGGATAAGTATATATAAACTTAAGATTGGTAGCCATATAATTGTAAATTCACTATATTCGCCAGTAGATTTTGTTGGATTCATTATGTCAGATATTTTTTCCATTATGTATAAGTTCCATAACTTTTTGTACCATACGTTTAGGGATGGTTTAATTTCTGACTTCCATTTCAAAGCTATGGTTGTTTTGGCTGTGAATAATAATAAAACAATTCTTTTTCTTTGTATAGTGGACAGAGCAGTTTCATTTCTAAGGTTCAAGAGTATAAATTTTCTATCACTTGTAATGGCCATTGGCCCTCTGCAATAAAACTGATCTGGACTGAACTGAAAATAGCATTCATGGCTCCAATGGCTGGTGATGGCCTTTGTATTTCTTTTAAAAAATTGTCAGTATCTAACCAACTGTGGACAGAATGCAACATAGACTTTGAGCTGTTCAGTGGACAAACAGAAATGGAATTCCAAGGCCACAAACTCAGGTCCATAATTTGCGCATTTCACACCTATCAGGGTATTGTGGGGAAATGTATTACAATCCATCTTTGTTCAGATCCATCTTCAAAGTCAGCCTGTTGTTTGGAGTCTTGAACACCATCCTACTAAGCCTACATACAGGCTATGGACTAATAAGCTCATTCTTCTCTTCACTGTGCCTCTCTCTGCCCCTTTTGTGGTCTTCTATGTATCAAATCATTGATTATGTGTCCATAAGGAGCCAATCTCCCCTTCCTCTATAAAAAGCTGCACACATTGAAGACATAGCTACAGAAATAGGCAGCAAATGGAAAACAAAGGAATGTCTCACATAGATTCAGAAGCAAACCGCTGTGCCGGCTGCTCATGGAAAGAGGGTATATCATAGATGTAGACGACCTGAGAAACGATCCCACCAACAAGCAGGTCACCAGGCTGATAAAATTCATGAGGGATAGGAAGATGATCAGTTGCTCTGGTGCATTGAATGGAATGTTTCTTGCATATAACAGGGCACAACAATAAAACCAGAATCAGTACCAGCACCATCCTCGTGATGTACCTCTTCCTCCACTCACTAATTTCTGTTACTGTGTACCACGTTTCCAATGTTAGTTTGTTTTAAAATTTTCTGGATTAGTAAATGAATCTGCTGGTACACTTCAGCAAACTGTAGCCTAAAAGAGAATTTTGGCACAAGACACAGTTAATAGTGGATCCTTTTCTGTGTTCTTTTTCATCCACATTTTAAATAAGATAAATCGCTCTACCTTCTCACTTTCTCCTATCAGCAGTTCGGTTGTAGTTTTACCCAGTTTAGCTTTCTTTTTTAGAGATAACCCACTCAGAAGAAGCACAAAGACAAGAAGACATCCAAATGAAGATCTGAGATTTTTCTATGTTAGAATTTAAATAATTTATATTATCGCCCATATGCGATACTAAAATTAAGAATTTTTCTTCTTTCTATTTGGATACTTATTACTTAGAAATTAAATGATATATTGTAAACATGA